ACAAAATATAGCAAAATCGGTTATAATATTGGTAGCAAAATTGATTAGAAACTCGATAAAAATATTGATAACAAAATCTATAAAAATATCGATAATTAATCGATAACAAAATCGATAAATATCGATAACAAAATCCTTAAATTTCGATAACAAAATCGATAAATATCGGATAACAAAATCTATAAGTATTAATAACAAAATCGATAAATATCGGTAACAAAATCGATAAATATCGATATTAAAATCGATAAATATCGATAACAAAATCAATAAACATCGATAACAAAATCGATTAATATCGATAACAAAATCGGTAAACATCGTTGAGAAAATCGATAAATATCGATAGCAAAATCGATAAATGTCGACAACAAAATCGATAAATATCTATAACGAAATCGATAAATATCAATAGCAAAATCGATAAATATCGATTACAAAATCGGTAACAAAATCTATAAATATCGATAACAAAACCGATAAAAATGTCGATTATTGCACCGACAAGTCTCGAGAATCCCCAAATCTCTAAATTTCCAAAATAGGTGCCAGATTGAGTCTCTGTGTCTCTCTACATCCTTTCCTGTTCAATTAACTTTATTTTAATCTTTCTTCCCCTATCTTCATCTTTACTTTTATCGGTATCCTCATCCTCCTCTTTGTCTTTACTTTAATGTTTATCATTTTCTTCATCTGCATATTCCCCTTCACCTTTGCCCTTATATATATAAGTAAAGTGTTTAAATTTACCTTGGTCTTCATTTTTGCCTTTATCTTTACGCATCTTTGTTTTTGCTTCTATTTTGACCTTTGTCTTTATCCTTTTCTGTATCTATGTATGTACGTACTCACCTTTACTTTCATTATTGTATTGGTCTTTTTCTAAGTCTTATTCTTTAACCTTTTATTAGTTGTATACCATATGCATACACACAAGACACAATTGTTTCAGCCCCAACCATTTCCGTTGCACCGTTTCCGTTGCACCATTTCCGTTGCACCACTTCCCTTGCATCATTTCCGTTGCACCATTTCCGTGTGCAATTTCCGTTGAATTTTCGAGTTTACTCTCAACCAACCAACCGCCGCTAAAGAAGTTTCACTTCAAAAATAAACCATTTAAGATTTTGAAGGCGTTCGACACGTATCAAAAAGCATTTGAAAACCTAGGCAAGGATAATGTTGATACTTCAACGGTGTTTCCAGTTTTGGTACAATGTGTTTGCCGGATGTATGGTTTAAAAAATGCCGATACGGTTAATGAAGCTCGCTTGGAACTTTTCAATGAAGCTTATAAAGCAAAAGACACTCAAGACATGTTTAGAAAAAATATTTGCTATTGTGACGCATCAGCAGAAGTTCAACAGCAGTTATTGCGAAGCTCATACATTACCAGTATATGGCTGAACGCAAACTTACAGCAGCCAACTAACAAATCACCAAAGCAGTATGGCTGGTCTCTTAATAACAAAAAGTATGAATTTGTCTGGTTTAATGGAGATAAGTCACCAGAATTAGTCGCAGATGTACTTGAAAACACCGAGGATCAGGAACAGAGAATCAGGTATGCAGATTTAACAGAAAATTTGAAAATAAAAATATTAAGTTTTTTTAATCAATTTGTTTGAATTTTGTAGACATGGATTCACGAGCATCTAGTGATTTAGATTCAGCAGAGGATGATGCAGAAAATTCCTATCGGGTCGAAGACGAAGAAGATGTATAGATTACACTACTCATCAAATTTTCAAATTTCGATTTTTACTGGGCTAATGCTAGTCATTTCTAATACACTTTAATATTAATATTTATTTATTGATTGTTTGCATTCAGATTTTTTATATGTTTGTATTGCTGAATATTGTTGGAAAAAATAAAAAATTACTATTCCTTAAATGTATCTAGACCTCGCAATAACAAAACTTTATAGAATCAACGGAATTTTTTAGCACCTTCAAACTTGTACTTAGTTATAATAACGTAGCGCTGACGCGGGCCGCCGCGAAGCTAAGCAAATTTAATGTTTGAAAGAGAAATAATGTCAATGGCTTTTATTTAGTTTTTAAAAAGGTAATAATGTCAATTGACTTTATTTCGCACCAGGGTGGTAATAATGTACCTTTGTACTATTTAGCATGTTGTTGGTCGGTAACAAGACCAACTTAAATTTAAATCTATTAAATACATTCTTGTCTCAGTCCTTTGCCCACAAAAGCGGCTATAACTTTTTTTTCTATTCAAACCAGTAAAAGTGACAACTTTTCTGAAATCTTTACTAAATGAGCAATTTTTTTATGTAATGTAAAGTTATAGCTCAGTACATATTTTTTCACCAGAGATAGTCAAAGTTGGGGAAGAAAATATTAAAAAGTTAAAAATCCCAAAATAGTCCTAATTTTATGATGGTTCCTTAATATATTTTAACTATATTGCATTTGAGTATGGAGAAGCAACTATCTGAAAGTATTTTACATAAAAAATTTACTAAGTATAGCCTGGTTTGTAGATGCAGTTAAAGAAAATACAGGAAAAGGCACGATTTTTTTAAATTCAAAAAATGTAAATATTTCAAAAACGGTGACACTTTTACCTGAAGAATTTTTGCTTATCAGGGAGCTCACCACCCCACCTGCCTTCGTTTATCACAAACCATCACTGATTTTAAGAATCACATCCTGTACTTCGATAATTTTTACACATCGCTCCCACTTTTGGTTTACTTGCGAAGTAGGGGAATTCAATCGCTTGGTACAATTTGAGCTAATCGAGTTCCGAACTGCAAATTGTCTAAAGATAAAGATGTATGCAAAACAGATCGAGGTTATTCGGAAGAGTTTGTGCGGACCGCTTTTGGTGTATAAATATCTACTGTATTATGGAGAGATACAAAAGCTGTGCGCTTAGCTTCAACATACGCAGGGGTAAGACCGTTAAGAGCTGCATCTGCGAATGCTCCGCCAAGCAAAACAACGAGGTACGATAGGAAGAATAAACACTACGTTGTAATCGACTGCCCCAATATTGTAAAAGAGTACAACTATCACATGGGCGGAGTTGATCTCATGGACGGTTTATTAGGACGCTATCGTATTCGGATGAAAGTGGACACTGCGTATCTTGTGGAAATGGCTGATTTCTCATATGAAGCTGCCTGATTTTCGAGTTGAAGTAGCTAATGTGCTTTGCAATTCTCAAAAAATTTGGAAGAGAACAGTGGGGCGACCAACTACACCTTTTCCAACTGTATTTCAGAGAAACGTAAATGTATATCA